TGCTTACTTATTTTATGAAAACAAAGTGGATAAAGTATTTAAAAGCCATATACTTAGAGACTCCTTGATGAGAGTTTGGAAGAAGCACCAATTCAAATGGGATTACAAAATACCGCTACGGCTGGATCTTGGTCATATCATGTGGAATACAAATATAATGTCACTCGGGGGGGTTTTATATAAAGAAGTTCTTTTTACAGATGCGGGCAGATGGCAACTGAAGACATTAGAGACACTGTTGGACGAAGGGATTAATCTAACTTGGTTACAGTATAACCAACTTCAACTGAGATGGAAAGAGGACCAAAAAATTGGTATTATGTTGCATGAGGAAGAATTGGTTAGACATATAAAAGAGAAAGGTCCAATGCATATTAAAAGGCTTTATAATGTTTTGTTAGAAAGGGATTCGGAAACTGAGCTGGTTAAAGATTGCATGATTAAGTGGGCACAAAATTTTGCAGAACCAGTGATGTTGGAAACATGGGAAAAAAATTGGGTTCAGAATGTTAAATTCACACAGTCGCAGAATCTGAGGGAAAATTTTTATAAAATGTTTTATAGATGGCATTTAGACCCTAAGAAATTATCATGCATGTACCCTAATGTTCAACCAAAGTGTTGGAGATGTGATTGCTTAGATGCTACATATTATCATATCTGGTGGACTTGTAAGAAAGTGAAGGCTTTTTGGATAAAAGTTTGGTGGTTTATGCAGAATGTTTTAAAGAAAAAAATTCAGTTTTCTCCACAATTGTTTTTATTGGGTATAGTTAAGGGTTTTACATTGGGTGAAACAAAGTTGATATTGTATATGATAACAGCAGCAAGATTATTGATAGGTCATTATTGGAAAAATGAAGCTGTGCCCACTATTGAGGAATGGATTTTGAAGATGGCCAGTTTTGCAGAGATGGCGAAGATTTCAGCATATCTAAAAGATCACTCACAAGAGACTTATGAATGGGAGTGGAAAAAGTGGATAGACTATGTACAGAATAAATATCAAACTAGGAAGTATCAGATAGCTTTTAACTGAAAATGTTATATAAAGATAGAAAGATTTGATTTTTGTGAAGATGGAAAATTATATCGGGGATGGAGGGGTTCAAGTTTTATAAAAAGGGGATTTTGATTGGATTATATTCTGTGGAAGTCCGGGGGGGAGGGGGGGTTAGGGGGGGATGGGGAGGGTTAGGGGAGGTTAGGAGGGTTAGGGTGGTTAGGGAGGTTAGGGAGGGTTGGGGGGGGAAATGGGGAGAAAATTTAATTGTAAAACTTTTGCAATAAAAAAAAAAAAGAGAAGGACTAGGGAAGACATGATAGCAGTCTTCCAATATTTGAGGGGCTGCCACAGAAAGGAAGGGGTCAAGCTATTTTCCAAGGCACCTGAAGGCCAGACAAGGAATAATGGATGAAAACTGATCAAGAAGAGATTCAACCTAGAAATAAGGAGAAATTTTCTGACAGTGAGAATAATCAAATATTGGAACAGCTTGCCTTCAGAAGTTGTGCCTTCATCACTGAAGGCTTTCAAGAAGAGATTGGACTGCCATTTGTCAGAAATGGTGTAGGGTCTCCTGCTTAGGTGGGGGGGTTGGACTAGATGACCTACAAGGTCCTTTCCAACTCTGTTAATCTGTAATCTGTTAGTCAATGACAATCTAAAGAAGTAGCAAAATTATTGTTTTTACTATTTAGCGTACGATGTAAACATGACAGAAGTAAACACATATACACAGTCTATGTAAAAAAAAACCCTTCTATGGAGAAATTGCAGGGGCCTCATAACTGGATGTCCAATTCAGCTATCCAGGTGATTGCCTCTGGAGTTGCTTCATGCAGATCTTCTAGGGAACCAGAGAATGCATGTCATGGGCAATCTTACATAATATGCTTAATAGTTTGCATATCAGCACCACAATCATAACAAGGAGAATTTTTCCATTCCCACTGATATAGGGCAGAGGCACTTCTTCCAGTATCACACCTAATTCTCTTCAATTTTGACCATACAAAGCAAGGCAGGTAAAAACCAGGTGATTTGGTAAAAGGGATCACAAGAATGTACTTTGGACCATTCCTCTCTCCAGGCATTCTCGGGATTAAACTGGGTAGATGTTAATTGAATAGCTGTTTTCCAAGTTTACCTACGATTTCAATCTTGTGATGGGCTGCACATTGTCCTGGTGAATAGAGAGGGCCTTGTTGTTCAACATCCTTGACCATAAGTAAATGAGAGCTTGTTGTCTTGTGGGGTGTATGATATTGCTAAGTACTGGTAACCAGTACACAGGAGTGGGATGCAATGTACCAGAGATGTCTGGCTGAGTTTGATATCTATCATTTTGGTGTGGGCACTGTTAAGTCTGTTTAGGGTGACCCGTTCCCTGCTCCACCAGGAAGTGCGGGAGGACCCCTTGGAGGGTAGAGCCGAGGATTTTGTTCAATATCTGTATGACAAAATCACTCAGTTCCGGGAAGATCTGGACTCCGACTGGGTGTCCAGTCAGGGGGAGGGACTGGGGCAGGTCTTGAGAATGTTATCTGGGATGAGTTTGATCCTGTGATCCCTGAGGACGTGGACAGGATTCTGGGCAGACTGAACGTGACCACTTGTTTATTGGACCCGTGTCCCTCCTGGTTAGTGCTGGCTTCCCAGGAGGTGACGCGAGGCTGGCTCCAGGGGATTATAAATGCTTCGTTGGGTGAGGGTGACAAATGGCTCTGACAAGGTGGCAATCCTCAAGAAGCCTTCTTTGGACCCGGCAATGTTGGTTAATTATCGTCCGGTCTCCAACCTTCGTTTTGTGGCGAAGGTTGTCGAGAGTGTGGTTGCGCAACAGCTTCCCCAGCACCTGGATGAGACGACATATCTGGATCCGTTCCAGTCGGGTTTCAGGCCCGGGTACAGCACGGAAACGGCATTGGTCGCGTTGGTTGATGATCTCTGGAGGGCTCGGGACAGGGGGTGCTCCTCTGTCCTGGTCCTGTTAGACCTCTCAGCGGCTTTTGATACCATCAACCATGGTATCATGCTGCACCGGTTGGAAGAGTTAGGGGTGGCAGGCACTGTACTACAGTGGTTCTCCTCCTTTCTCTCCGGCCGGTTGCAGTCTGTGTTGGCAGGGGGGCAGAGGTCGACCCCGAGGCCCCTCATATGTGGGGTGCCACAAGGGTCGGTCCTCTTGCCCCTTTTGTTCAACATTTATGTAAAGCCGCTGGGCGAGATCATCTGTGGTTTCAGGGTGAAGTACCACCAGTACGCTGATGACACCCAGCTGTACATCTCCACCCCGGACCACCCCAACGATGCCCTTGAAGTGATGTCTCGATGTCTGGAGGCCGTGCGGATCTGGATGGGGAGGAACAGGCTCAGGCTCAACCCATCCAAGACCGAGTGGCTGTGGTTTCCGACATCCCGATATAGTCAGTTGACGCCATCGCTGACTATTGGGGGCGAATCGCTGGCCCCCACGGAGAGGGCTCGCAACTTGGGTGTCCTCCTGGATTCACGGCTGTCTTTAGAAGAGCACTTGACGGCCGTGACCGGGAGGATCTTTCATCAGGTTCGCCTGATTCACCAGTTGCGTCCCTTTCTGGATTGGGACTCCCTACACACAGTCACTCATGCCCTCGTCACCTCCCGCCTGGACTATTGTAACGCTCTCTACATCAGGCTCCCCTTGAGGAGCACCCGGAGGCTCCAACTGGCGCAGAGTGCGGCCACGCAGGTGGTTATGGGAGCAACATGGCGCTCCTGTGTGACACCTCTCCTGCGCGAGCTGCACTGGCTCCCGGTGGTCTTCCGGGTGCGCTTCAAGGTTTTGGTTACCACCTTTAGAGCGCTCCATGGCTTAGGACCTGGCTACTTACGGGACTGCCTACTACCACAAACAGCCTCCCACTGGCCGGTACGCTCTCATAGAGAGGGGCTCCTCCAGGTGCCGTCAGCCAAATAATGTCGACTGGCGGCCCCTAGGGGGAGGGCCTTCTCTGTGGGGGCACCTCCTATCTGGAACGAGCTCCCCCCAGAGATACGGAGGATCCCGGATCTGCGCACCTTCCGCCGTGCTTTGAAGACACTCCTATTCCAGCAGGCCGGCCTGGCCTAATTTTCTCCCCTTCTTTTAAATTTTTAAATTGAAATTTTAATTTGTTTTAAATTATTGGGAATTTTAATTGTCTCGGGCAAAATTATTTAATTTGGTTTTAATTATGTTTTTTAACTTTTGTATTTATTTTGTGCCTGTTCACTGCCCTGAGTCCTTCGGGAGTAGGGCGGTATACAAATTTAATAAAATGAAAAAATGAAAATGAAATGAAAGTCATACGCCAACTGTGGAATAAACTAAAGCCAAGGCTGTTGTCCATAGGGTGTTAGCATCAGTACCCCAGGTTGTTGGGGCTTTTCAATTTTGCAGCTGTTATATTTCCTAGTGTTATTGGAAGGTTAGTGATCTGTCCAATGTTACCCCCAGATACTTCAGAGAATTATTACATTGTAAAATACAGTTCCAGAACTTTACTGAAGGCTGGTAATTTGCATACCTATTAGTGTGGTGGAATTTGGCTACCTCTGTTTTTGTTAGGCTAGGTTGGAGTGGCCATTTTTTTGAAGTAGTCATTCATCTTCTGAAGATCGTGGGAGAGGATATCCTCTGCATCATTGAAATTGGTGCTATCTATTTTAGATAGCACCAAGGTAGATAGACTTTGGATCAGTGGAGGTATTCAAATTTTTTAACTACCTGTTCTGTGGGCGCGGCTTGGTGGTGGTGGTGGGGTCATGTGACTGAGTGGGCATGACCAACTTGACATAACTCATGCCCACACCTACTCAGTCACTTGACCCCCCCCAAGCCACAGAACACGGTAGGAAAAAAATTGGAAATGGAGTCTGTGAAAATGGGCCTGGCAGCTACAAAAAAGGATACTCAGGTGGCTGATCCTGTTTAACCTAAAGGTAATGTATTTAAAACAAATTTTTGTTCACTCACCCAATCCACTATAAGGATTTTGTTCACATTCAGTCTCTGCTGGAGAAGTTTGGCGGAAATGGCTACAGAGTTAAAATAGCAAAAACCCCTAAAAGGAAATGGAATTTATAAATGAATGTATGAAATTCTGAATATAAGCTTCAAAAATCTTCCAATGGTAACAATAGTTTTACAATTTTGTCTATTGCTATTCAACATGTAGACAGGCTTATTTCCTGTATAGGCCTTTTAATTAAATTATACAATTATATTTTATATATTAAAAATACCAACAATCAAACCACTTTTGGTCAATATGACAAATTATTGTTTTAAATCCCAACAACACTTAATTGACCAAAAGAATCTTTTCAGAATCCTGTTTTCATCCACAACTTTTTGGTGGAAGCTACAATTTACAAAATATTATTTTCAGTAACCAAAAACCACAGGCGTTAAGTAGTCAACACAGAAATGCTGCCAGAAAGACAAAGCTAAATTTTCATGGTGTTTTATTTATATCTTTATTTCCCAAACCAACTGGAAAAACATATTAAATATTTGGCATTTCTGAAGGGATGAAATTGATGCTTTAACTTTCTGCACATCTTATGGCATCCATTTTGTCCTTAACCCCACCCTAAGTTCTCCAACTGCTAAAACAAAAGACTCCCCCCCTTCAAAGGCTTTTCTGGAAGATTACAAGCAGCCAATACATTGCAATACATCTAAGTGAAAATTCCCAGTCCAAACACAGTCACATACTCACATAGGGGTACTTTCTTCTGCATGGTGACCAGGAGGTCGAACTACAGCAAATCCATTCTATTAAATGGAAGCCAAATAAACAAACAAACAAACAAATATTAAATAAATTAATTAATTAATTTTAAAAAAACCTACCCAATTTGAAAGATTAGATGCTAAAAGCCCACATATTTTTCAAGCATGTAAAATTTCTGTAGCAAAATTACTGGATTGTTTCTGAAGTATTCTGTTTTCATATTAGTCAGATACAGATAGTCTTTATGACAATTTATGACAATTTATGAGCGCAGAACTCTGGTCATTAAGTCACTGTGGTCGTAAGCTGAGTCATCATGTGACCAGACTTGATTTTATAACCATTTTTATTATGGTTGTTAAGCAAGTCACAGTTGTTGTTAAGTGAATCACAGAGTTATAAACCTGAATCCAGCTTATCCAAAGGGCATTCTTTGTGCCCCGTGACACTGCAACCAGTTGTAAATGTGAGGCAATTGCCAAGTGCCTGAAATGCTATGACCTGACCATGAGGGTTGGTGCAACAGCCTTAACTTAGAGGACAGATTAAGTAAATTTTTCTAAAGCCATTGTAACTTTTTAAACTGTGGTTAGGTGACTAGTTCTAAGTTGTATTGGTTCAGAGGAGGAACCCATACAGGTATTCACATCAAATCATGAAATAAGCTGCCACAATTGTCTCAAAGGTGCTTTTTTCTTCAAAAGCAACTGGGCTATTTTTTCTTTGAGGAAGGAGAATAAAACCTTTCACTTCTCATCCAAGAATCTTTATCAGTTCTGATGGCGGGGGGGATGGAAGGATAGGTACTGACCCTTGAGACTGGATGGTGGGGAAATGGAAGAACAGATTCTGATAGGATGGTGGGGAGTGGGATGGAAGGATTGTATTTCTTTGCCTTCGTCTGGTCGTTAACACTCTCTCTGAGAACTGTTGAGGTCACTTGGGATGGCTCAGGCTCTCAGGCTTGCCCTCAGGGTGCAATTGATTGTGGAATCTTTTTGGAACTGCTGCAAGGGCTGCATTGTAAACTGGAAATAGGTGGTGTCTAATTCCTTTCCCTCTGTTGAGGGGGGAGTGTTCAATTCTAACATAGATTATTCTTCTACCCCTTTTTCAAACCAATGATCCTCTCTATCCAAAATGTGGCCTTTGCTATCTTCAAAAGAGTAACCTTTGTTGTTCAAATGCAGATGGACTGCTGAATCTTGTCCTGATGGGTTTGATCTCCTATGTTGTGCCATGTGCTTGTGAAATGGTTGTTTTGTTTCATCGATGTACAGATCTGCACATGTTTCACTGCATTGTATTGCGTATATTACATTGCTGTTTGTGTCTGGGTGTTTTAGTCTTGGGCTGGACACGCTTCTGACTTAGTGTATTCTTGGGTTTAAAGTACATATATATGTTGTGGTGGTTGAAAATCCCCTTGAGCTTTTTCAGATATTCTTGCTACATATGGAATGACGATGTTGCTACGTTTGTTGTTTCCTAGAAATGTCACTGCTCTTTCTTGAATTGTGAGGTAGGACAGGAGTGTTTTGGCACTGGCGAGGGCTGCAAATTAGGGGTGAAATGCTACTGGTTCGCTCCGGTTCAGGGGAACCAGTAGTTAAAAAAAGCTATGATCCAACGATCACCTGTGCTGTGCGGTTTAGCTTTGCTAAAAAGCAGGATTTCCTGCTTTCTAGCAAAGCTAAACCACGCGCCACAGCTTATCCCCCCCCTCGTTGTTCTACTTACCTTCCCAAGCCTCCTTTTGGCGCGTACTGCACATGCGCATGCACGCAACATGCACCAAAAGGAGGCTTGGGAAGGTAAGTAGAACAGCGAGGGGGGAATCAGTTGTGGCACGCAGTTTAGCTTCGCTAGAAAGCAGGAAATCCTGTTTTCTAGCAAAGCTAAACTGCGCAGCACAGGTGATCGTCGGATCAGAGCTTTTTTTAACTACCGATTCGACTGAACCAGTAGCTTTTTAACTGAACCGGTTACTAAGCTTTTTAAACGCGCAGCACGCATTTGGTGTGCATGCACACAGTGTATCTTTGGTGCCATGCGCACACACTTAGCACGCCACACGCATGCGCAGCCAGATAACCGTAGCAAACCGGTTCAGATTTCACCATTGCTGCAAATACCTTCATTCTTAACTGTTCTGATGGCTGGCAGTGTGGCTGTGATGGGATCTACAATTGGTAGCTGTCCTGATGTACTGCAAAATTTAATCCTTTGGATAAAACATTCTTTTCTGTTGGAGTAAATACTCTGCCAGACAGATTTCTCATCTATCAGTCAGCTCTTTGAGACATGTCATTGTCCTCTCTCATCTGGATTGATTCTTCTGTTTTGTGTGCTTTTTCTTGTCAAAATTGTAGGGTAGAAAAGTTGTCTGTCTTTCTTTCTTTCTTTCTTTCTTTCTTTCTTTCTTTCTTTCTTTCTATCATTCTCCCTCTCTCTCCACCCCCCTTATTATCCTGTGCTAGTTGTGCCTTCTTTATAAATTCTGTGACCTCCTCCAATACTTCTGTTGGAAGAAGTGATTTCAGTTTTTGACATTTTTAACCCAGTTTACTCTCACATGTAAAAATGAAAGCCAAAATATTATTAATACCAGACCAACCTTTAGTTCTCCTGCAGCTACTTTAAATACAAGCTCTATGACACAGCCAACAGCAAGACGAGCAGCACTGAATGAATGCACTTCATTCCAAATTGTATCATTGTCCACCTGAATAAAGATGGATTCAGAAATATTGTAAAAATACTGTTATAAATTCTGAAACAATTTAGTCTACACAGAGGACTGCATGCTGATTACTGGAACTGTTAAATCATAACTTAAGTGTTATAATTATAAATGCAATTAATGATAAATACCGAAAGTGAATTACTCCCCAAGCTAAAATTGATAGCACTGCCATCACAAATTTATATCCTTTTACTTTTCTTTAAAACTATCTTTAGCTACAGATAAACTGATTATACACTATAAGTGGAGTTCTTTAAATGGTTTATTTATTTATTTAGTGTATGGGAAATACATGGATTTATAGTGGTTCAAATGTTAATGTCTAGTCCGTCCAACCATTCAAAAACAGGGTGGTCTATGTTGAAAAAATCAGACATTGGGCCTGTGTAAGCTCTTGATGGACATTCAGACACAATGTAATGGATATTTTGTCGAGGAGCACCATAGCCACACTGAGGGGTAGAGACAAGACCCCACTTAAACAATGAGTCCTGGCAGACACCATGTGATTATACTCATGAATTCATTTGAGACATGTTCAGATATAAGATTCTTGACAAGAAACATATCTTGTCTGTATCATATAATACATCTTCTAAAACACAGCTCCCAATATTTCACTTTCATTTTTGATATCAAAATTAAACTGCTAAATGTAGACAAATGGCTCTGACAAGGTGGCAATCCTGCATATATTGGTAGGAGAAAATCCTTTGGAAGAAGATCCTCTTGATTATGAGTATTTGGCTAACTGTCTATAGAATATGTTTATTAATATAAGACATTTAGGAAGTTCTTAGGAGGAAACAATTATCTTGCTTTTTCAGAACCTGACAACAACAACAACAAAAGTTTGATCTGTACAAAAACCAATTGTCCTATGCAGGCATAACAATATCATTAGACATTAAGAGTGCAAAAAAGAGAAATTAGAAAAGAAAACTGGGACAATTTAAGAAAATTGGGAGAATTGGCTTCTAAATTATTTTAGCGCTACCATTTTGTATATCATCTATTTTTCTTAGAACTAAGGTAGAGCTTATATCTTATAACTAGAGCAAATAAAGCAATCATTTTTGTATTTTAAAAGATTAATAGACATCCTCAAACATAGTTTGACCAAACTTTATCATGTGGATAAGAGATGACAAGACAGTCACCTAAGTAACAACGATTGCTCAATACAAAATAAAGACAGAGATAAAATATGAAACGCATTTGGAATCAAAATTTCTGAGTAAGTTTTGTATATATATTTTGTACTAATTGGTATTTTTTCTTGCCAATAGATTGCTATAGCACTTAGATTTATATACTGCTTCACAGTGTTTTACAGTCTTCTCTAAGCGTTTTACAGTGTCGGCCTATTGCCCCCAACTATCTGGGTCCTCATTTTAATGACCTTGGAAAGGATGGAAGGCTGAGTCAATCTTGAGCTGGTGAGGCTCGAAGGCTGGCAGCTGGCAGTCAGCAAAAGTAGCCTGCAGTACTGCATTCTAACCACTGCGCCACCATGGCTGAATACTGATTTAACTTGCATTTTTGGTAGGTCTTCAGTGGGCTGTTTTTAGACTATAGATTTGCCTAGTGCAGTGGAAGATAATTATATCCCAATCTCTCAATGAATTTGTTTCTATGTAATTTCACATACTGAGGAATTCAACTGTTCATTTTATTTTATTTTACAAAATGTAGAGATATTTGCCGCAGCAACGCTGGGATAGTTTCAAAATAATACTTGTATCACTAAGATTATTGAAAATTGTTGCCATGAAAACTAAAGCAACTTAAAAATTATTATGGTAAAAGTGAGAATATTTTATTTAATTTTGAAACTTTGTAGTTAATGATGACATAAAATTGGGAAGTTTAGGCAGCACCCAAAATGACAAAACTGAATTGAAATCAAATCTAGACAGACAAAGCTTGGAGAACAAGATGTGCTTTTACTGGAAAAAATGTAAAGGAGAAAAATATATGGACACATACTGTACAAGTCCAAGAAGTTATGACTTGGAATCACAACACTGAAGAAAGTCTTGGGCCTAATCACTGACACTAAGCTGAACATAAGCCAGCAATGTGCGATAACTAAAAGGATTGCATTAGAAGAAGTATTGTATTAAAAACATACAGAGTCCTTATTTTCCTCTATTCTGTGCTAATGGGGCCACATCAGTATGTCTGTTTACCATTCGGGGCACTACAAAATATTGACAGGTTACAACAGTTTTAGAGGATGACATCAAGGATAATTATAGGAACTAAAGGGCATGTTCTATAAGGACAAGATGGAGGAAATTGGAATGTTTAATCTGGGGAAAAGAAATCTGAGAGGAGGCAAGATACCAGTGTTCAAGTATTGATGAGTTTAAGTATAACTCTTGACCACTGACCATCTATTTCAGTACTAGAAGTATCTATGAAACACACTGATAATAAAAGTTTATTTGGTCAAACTCATAATGAAGTATAAAAACTTTCCAGATATCTCTGAAAGAAGCATGTTTACAATCAGGTGCCAGCCTGTCAACTAGAGACATGGCAAGTACAAATGTTGTATTATATTTAATGATACAGCATGTTTTATAGGGATAGGTGAAAGAAAGGTATTCCACTCTGTGTGAGATGCATTCTTTTATGTGAGTGGAAAAGTGAGACAAACTATGATTAATACAGGTGAAACTTGAAAAATTAGAATATAGTGCAAAAGTTCATTTATTTCAGTAATGGTGAAACTAATATATGAGATAGACTCATTACATGCAAAGCGAGATAGTTCAAGCCTTGATTTGTCATAATTTTGATGATTATGGCTTATAGCTCATGAAAACCCCAAATTTACAATCTCAGAAAATTAGAATATTGTGAAAAGGTTCAATATTCTAGGCTCAAAGTGTCCCACTCTAATCAGATAATTAAGCCATAACACCTGCAAAGGGTTCCTGAGCCTTTAAATGGTCTCTCAATCTGGTTCAGTAGGAATCACAATCATGGGAAAGACTGCTGACCTGACAGTTGTGCAGAAAACCATCATTGACACCCTCCATAAGGAGGGAAAGCCTCAAAAGGTAACTGCAAAAAAAGTTGGATGTTCCCAAAGTGCTGTATCAAAGCACTGTATCAAAGTTATGTGGAGTTATGTGGAAGGGAAAAGTGTGGAAGAAAAAGGTGCACAAGCAGCAGGGATGACCGTAGCCTGGAGAGGATTGTCAGGAGAAGGCCATTCAAAAGTGTTGGGGACTTTCACAAGGAGTGAACAGAGGCTGGAGTCAGTGCATCAAGAGCCACCACACACAGATGGATCCTGGACATGGGCTTCAAATGTCGTATTCTTCATCAAGCCACTCCTGAACAACAAACAACATCAGAAGCGTCTTACCTGGGCTAAAGAAAAAAAGAACTGGTTTGTTGCTCAGTGGTCCAAAGTCCTCTTTTCTGATGAGAGCAACTTTTGCATCTCATTTGGAAACCAAGGACCCAGAGTCTGGAGGAAGAATGGAGAGGCATACACTGCAAGATGCTGGAAGTCCAGTGTGAAGTTTCCACAGTCTGTGTTGATTTGGGGAGCCATGTCATCTGCTGGTGTTGGTCCACTGTGCTTCATTAAGTCCAGGGTCAACGCAGCCGTCTACCGGGAGATTTTGGAGCACTTCATGCTTCCTTCCACAGACGAGCTTTATGGGGATGCTGACTTCATTTTCCAGCAGGACTTGGCACCTGCCCACACTGCCAAAAGTACCAAAACCTGGTTCAATGACCATGGGATTACTGTGCTTGATTGGCCAGCAAACTCGCCTGACCTGAATCCCATAGAGAATCTATGGGGCATTGCCAAGAGAAAGATGAGAGACATGAGACCGAACAATGCAGAAGAGCTGAAGGCTGCTATTGAAGCATCCTGGTCTTCCATAACACCTCAGCAGTGCCACAGGCCGATAGCACAGGCCGATAGCACAGGCCGATAGCATCCATGCGGCAGTAATGGAGGCAGTAACTGATGCAAAAGGGGCCCAAACCAAGTACTGAGTACATATGCATGCTTATACTTTTCAGAGGTCCGATATTGTTCTAGGTACAATCCTTGTTTTATTGATTTCATGTAATATTCCAATTTTCTGAGATAGTGAATTTGGGGTTTTCATGAGCTGTAAGCCATAATCATCAAAATTATGACAAATCAAGGCTTGAAGTATCTCGCTTTGCATGTAATGAGTCTATCTCATATATTAGTTTCACCTTTTAAGTTGCATTACTGAAATAAATGAACTTTTGCACGATATTCTAATTTTTCGAGTTTCACCTGTATGTTCATCAAGCTATTAGTGTGCAGTGGCTTGTGTCACACATGACCCTCACAAGGGCAGCAGGGAAATATGTACAGCATGTACTTTTTTTTTTCTTTCTTTAATTTGATTTATATGCCGCCCTTCTCCGGAGACTCAGGGCGGCTTGCAATGCGTTAAGCAATAGCCTTCATACTTTTTGTATATTTATACAAAGTCAGCTTATTGCCCCCACAAACTGGGTCCTCATTTAACCTACCTTAGAAAGGATGGAAGGCTGAGTCAACCTTGAGCCTGGTAAGATTCGAACCTGCAGTAATTGCAGGCAGCTGTGTTAATAACAGGGTGCTTTTAAACCACTGGCTCTTTTAAACCAAGGCTCTTAAACTGCAATGTATCTAATAAAAAAGCCTTAGATCAGGGGTGAAATCCTCCTGGTTTAGACCGGATCAGGCGATCCGGTAGAGATTGTGGCAGGTGATTCGGAGAACTGGTAGTGATGGTGGTGCGAGGTTCCGCCCACCTGCCAGGGTGTCATTATTTCCTGGTTTTAACCAGGAAGTAATGTGTTTTTACCTCTGTGCATGCACAGCTTTTGTGCATGCGCAGAGGGTGCACGCGCGCATGTGATGCGTGTGCGTGAGCAAAGCGAGCGCGTGCGTGCGGCATGTGCACTTCTGAACCGGTAAGGAAGGTAAGTAGATTTCACCCCTGCCTTAGACCCTCCTATTAGAATATTAGTAGCACTGGATGTTGTACAAGTGTATGTTCATTAAAATTTTATTCCTAACAAACATGTATCCATAAATAATGGGATTGCCAGCTATGTGCTTCACAATAGGCTGGAACCAGGAAAACCTGTTAAGTATTAAGGCAGAAGCCACTGCATACAAAGGGAGACAGAGTTACTATTACGTTTGACGTACTATATGCACCAAGAAGTATTATACTGGGCAAAAATGAAACTGATTTGTAAAACCAGATGTTGAACAGGATCAGATCTGACTTGGGACAGGAAGCTGTATCCTAGTTGGTGTCTGAGTGCCATTAAAAATCACAAAAGATAAGTGGGAATTATCTATTTTCCCATTTATTTTAAAAAAAATTTACCTATGAGAGTTAGATTATTTCACAGACTAACTGTAGAAACGCAGGTTTTATAGTCGTAAGAGATAATAAACAACATTCACCCACATGAAATAATTTACATTCACACTGGAAGAAGCAGATTGGGTGATTCTTAAATGGAGTAGATAAATTCTCCAATGTTCTGTTATTTAGAAAACTGAAAATGTAAGAGTGAGGCTTCATCTTCAGATGCTACTGATGTGGTGGTCAAAGCAGAGCTGTGCTGAAGGGGCTGGAGCTGAACTTTAACAGAATAACAGAGTTGGAAGGGATCTTGGAGGTTTTCTAATCCAACTCCTTGCACAAGCAAGAGACCCTATACGATTTCAGTGAAATGGCTATCTAATCTCTTCTTAAAAACCTCCAGTGATGGAGCACACAGAACTTCTGAAAGCAAGCCATTCCACTGGTTAATTGTTTCACTATCAGGAAATTTCTCCTTAGTTCTAAGTTGGTTCTCGCCTTGATTACTTTCCATCCATTGCCTTCTAGTGCTGTAAATAGATTGATGCCCTCTTCTTTGTGGCAGTCCCTCAAATATTGGAACACTTTTATCATATTACGCCTAGCCATTCTTTTCAGTAGAGTAGACCACACATACCCAATTCCTGCAACTGTTCTTCATGTTTTAGCCTCCAGCCCCCTAATTATCTTTGTTGCTCTTCTCTGCGCTCTTTCCAGAGTCTCAACATCTTTTTAAAATTGTGGCAACGAATACTGGATGCAATACTCAAAGTGTGGTCTCACCAAGGCATTATAAAGCAATACTAACACTTCACATGATCTTGATTCTATTCCTCTGTTAATGCAGCCTAGGATTGCATTGACTTTTTTGGTGACTGCAGCACACTGCTGGCTTAAATTTAAGTGATTGTCCACTAGGACTCCAAGATCCCTTTCCCTCTGTTGCTTGATATCTTTTCCAGTATCTTCCCAGATACTGATGTCAGGCTGATTGGTCTGTGATTTTCTGGATCAATTTTTCTCCCTTTTTTGAATATGGGAACCACGTCACTACTTTTCCAGTTCTCTGGTAATTCCCTGGTGCACCAGGATCTTGGTCAAGATATGGTTTCAATGGTTCCGAGATCATGACTGCCAGCTGCTTCAGAATTCTGAGATGTAATCCATCAGGTCCTAGTGATTTGAACCCTAATCTCTTACTATTTTTTTGCCTACTTTAATTTCTGTTCCTAGTCTGTCTTTTATGGTTCTGTTTTTGGTAGGTTGGGGTATTTTTTTCTTTTTGTGTGAAGACAGATGCAAAGAATGAATTAAGAAGCTCTGCTTTCTCTCTAATGCTCATTATTTCCTTGGCTTCTCCTCCCATTAGTGGACAAATTGTTTCCTTGACTTTTTTCTTGTTTTTTCCATGTTGAAAGAAACATTTTTTATTGTTTTTTACATTTGTTGCAAGTCTTAGTTCATTCTGAGTCAAAATCTATTTTGAGGCCTGAACAATTTACATAATTTGTAATTACTATGTTGATGTTGTTTTTAAGATTTGAGATAAATTATATAGGTAGTGTGAATCTTAAATGTAAGAATCATCAGAGAAGCCAAAGTACCAGATGTATATTTAAAAACAAAATGCATGGAGTCTCTTCACACTTCTAATTACAATAAAGCTTCTTTATTGAAAAAAAAAAGCAAAATTTCAAAACAGCATGTTGATATGAAATAATGAAACAATATGAAACATTACTTGGAACAAAATTATGTGCTTCCTCTGATATGAACAAGTCTTTGTGAAATAGGGAGCCTCAATAGAGATGGAAATATTTCAGTTATGTATAATATTTATTGAATAGAGTGTTTACCCCAAAATTTATAGAACTTTGGGGTTCTACACATATAGTAGTGGCAAAATTGTCGAAACCTTTTGGGAAAAGTGTTTTTTCTAAACTAGCAAATAACACCACTTTTTTTTTTTGGAGTAGTACCTTAAAATTATATATCAATGGAAAGATAATTTAATCAAGAATGTAATGCAATAACTTTTATGAAGGATTTGCTATTAGAATAGCAGTTACAGTATAAAGAAGAAAAGTGAAACACATAGAAAAAATGAGATATACAAAAATTATCACCTTAGTTAATACTTAGTTGGGTAACCTTTAGCATGACTTACGGCTTTACAATGTCTTCCCATGGAGTAAACCAAGTCTTTTAGTTCTGCAGCTGTTATAATGTGAAACCAAGATTGAATGATTGCTTCTATTAGCTGGGTTTTATTGCTGGGTTGCTTCTGACTAGCAAGTTTCTTTAGTCGGCTCCATAGATTTTCAATTGGGTTAAGGTCTGGGCTATTCCCAGGCCATTCCAGCAGTGGAATATGATTATCTTGAAACTCAAAAAAAAAAAAAAAAAGTGGTGTTGTTAGCCATCAAACCTCAAAAATACACTTTTCCCAAAAAGTTTCCACAATTTTGGTCACTAGTGTATGAGTTCTATAGTATAGTTCTATAATAAAAATGAGAATTGTATATTTAGTCAGTTTAATCAATATGTTTAATCAAGACTTGCTGCATTACTTGATCAAATAAGAAAAAATGCTTACCCCAATGCCACCACATGGAAGCCTGACAAACAGTGATGTTAGAGAGCCTGGAGGAATCAGAGTAGAGTAAAACATTGTTAAAATTACAAAATACATGTGATTTGGAAGTAATATAAAAATTTGTCATCAAAACTATCCATTCCTACAGTAATATTAGTTGCTGAATATGACACTGATTATCTCAGTCTCTAAACTTGACTCAGTTGCATCCTTTCTGGAGCAAGTCTATAGAGAATTTGGATTGGGTCTTTAATGTCAAACACCTAAAGTAGAGATCAAAAGTTTTAAACTCTTAAGAAAAGAAAAATATTTGATACTGATATTTTAAAATCAACTTGCTCTTTTACCTACAATCTTCTCCTCATGAATAAATCAGCTTAAAAACTCAGTTGGCCAGAAAGTTTTAAGTTTTAAACAGGCTGAAATTGATGTAGTTAAGAATATCATATTCCTAGGGAAAGGATATAGAATATTGCCTGAAGAAGGTACCAACCTGCCTGCAAAAGGGAACAATCCCTTTTGAATATTTCTTCAGTGGCAAGTGGCAAGAGCTTAGACTTTCAGTGAGATTCAAGGAATGTCAGGAGAAACTTCTCTAGAAGTTGGGACCACTCTATAAGTACAGTGAAGTGTACAGCAGTAAATGTGATAAAGATTTGCTCTCAAAAGTGCCAGTTTAAACATCTTTTGTTATTCCTTTATGCTTCAGTAATATTGGGATCACTTCAGTATATGGATATTATAACTACCAGATTATCTAAACTGACTTTTTCAACTTGGTGACTTTTTCTTGAAAAAATACTCTCCCAAATATTATATGCTTGCAATGTTGTAACTGTGATTGGACGGAGGAAGAAAATAACAGTAGTCTAGAAGAATTGTTTCTCTTTGATTGGGTATCCCATCAACTTTATTTATTCCTATTTAGAACAGGAATTAGCAGACAGGAACATAATTCAGTAGATAAACTCTTTAACACCATATAAGAGTCTTAGATGACAGAAATGACTGACGACTCAAGATGTGTCATTTTGAAGAATATTTACATAGTCAAGATTAGTTGTTTTCAGCACTTCATAACTACCTGTCAACCGTAAGGTTGGAGGATGATCGCCTGATGAGGCTGTGGGGCAGGACATCATATTAACATGGTGATGGGCATGGGATGTTACAAGACTAGAAGGCAGGCCGTTACAGGAGAAGATGCTCCAAATGTGTAGTATTGGTAGCATGTTCCAACCCTGAGCTCACTCTCAGCCATTGGACAACATATCCATGGGAGCCTGGGGGTTTGTCAGATCAGTCAATAATGAGGGTCCCCTTATCCCTCACTGAGAAGGGGAGCGAGTTAAATTGGCATGCCTCACTGAGACTTGGCTGACTCAGAAGCCGGGGACCCTAAGTTTAGGGTTTGGCACAAACCAAGATCCCAAAGCAGGGAATGAAGGGGGGCAGCAGAGGTCCAAGAATCCCTCTTGGCTTTTAGGGGCCTTGCTTCTCAGGTCTTTTGATTGTGAGCTCATGGGATCAGTTGGGATTGCTGCTAGTGCACTAGCCTACCTGCTGCATAGCAACCTCCCTGCCTGAGCTGCTGGAGGCCATCTCAGAGTTGGTGGTGGTGTTCCCCAAACTTATGGTCCTGGGAGACTTGAACTTACTATCCCTGGGTTGGGCCTAGAAGTTTATGGTCACCATGTTGGCCATGGGCCCAGAAGTTTATGGTCACCATGTTGGCCATGGGCCTACCCTAAATCATCCTGGATTCAACCCAGGACAGTGGTCACACACCAGATATGATCTAGTCAGAAGAAGGGCAACATGATTAGATGGGGAATCTAATGTTATATCCCACCATGGTGGGATCATGCCCTGATGTTCTTGAGATTCTATTATGTAGGAGGTTGGACCCATTTGAGTAGTCTGTCCCCAGCAACTGATGGACCCAAATGAGCTCCACAGGGAATTGGGAAATATCCTGGGGGATTACCACATGGTCCTGCTGAAGTTCTGGTTATGTCCTGGAACCAAAGGGCAGCCAAGGCTTTGGACAGGATCATGCCTGTGTGGCCTGTCTTGACCCATCACTTCTGACACTCCCCCCTGGTTCATGGAGGAAGGAACTGTGAGTTCTGAAAAGAGTCAAGAGATGTTTAGAGGGCCACTGGAGTAAAATGAGGGATGAATCCAACTGGACACAATTTAGAGCAGCAGTTAGGCCTATCTTGTGGTTTAAATAGTGAAAGACCCTGATTTCTCTGCCCTTATTGTGTCTGCACAGTGTTGCCCAGTGGCCCTGTTCAGAATCGCAGTCCCTCTAGGGACAGGAGGGCTCAGGTGATAATTTTCAGGGCCCTGAAGAGGAATTTGTGAAATACCTGATGGATAAAGTCACTCAAATTTGTCCCAGTTGGAGCCCATGTATAGTGCATTTCAGATTAACTGGGAACAATTTGATTTTGTTGGACATGATGAAGTGGACAGGGTCTTCAATGCTGTCAGTGAACCACATATCAATTAGATCTCTGTCCCTCCTGGTTGGTGAAAACCTCCAAAATGATGACAGTCAGGTGGGTTCAGGTAGTGATACATTCTTCACTGCAGAAGGGATATTATCAGAACCTTTGGTCCCCCCTCCCTTTAAATAGCCATCTCTTGATCCCACCTGTCTGGACAACTTCCATCCAGTCTCCTACCTTCCCTTTCTAGGGAAAATGGTAGAGAAGATTGCTGTTTGGCAGTTTCAGAGGGTCCTGGATGAAACAGATTATCTAGACCTCTTCCAGACAGGTTTCAGGTCTGATTATAGGATAGAAACAGCATTGGTTGCACTTGCACTTGTGGATGATCTCTGGTGAGAGTGAGATGGGGAGAGTGCATCTATTCTGTTCTCCATGGTCTCTCAGCAGGTTTCGATACAATACTCATTTAGGCCAGCTGCTTAGTTTGGGACTGGGCAGCAGTCTTGCACTTGCAGTTCAGTTCCTTTCTCTAAGGCCGATCCCAATTGATGTGAATAGGGATTGAGAGGTCTATTAACAGTCATTTGTGGCATGCAAAGCTCAGTACTCTGTCCTTTTAAACATTTGACACCTGAGAAACCAAGTCACCCTAATGGGATAGCTCACCCCATCTATGCTTGCTGAACAGGCATGCTATGGACCCCTTCAGCCAAGGAATTTTGGCTGGTGGGTCCAGAAGAAGAGCCTTTTCTGCTATGGCTCCAGCCCTTTGGAACCTCTTTCCCCTAAAATCAGATCCACTCCCACCCTTTTGGTCTTCCAAAAGGCCTTGAAGACATGGCTATGTCAACAAATCTGGTATCCCAATGGCATGTTGGAGGTAGCTACTAGAGTAGAGGATACCCCATCTCCTCCCTGTACACATTTTGCTCCTGCCCTCTCCACCCTGCTTAGTTTTATTTCAGTTGAATTTTAACTTTAATATTTTGTTTTAATGTTTTATTCTGTACTTTCTGTAACCTCCCTAGAGTTGCCTTCAATGAGATGAGTAGCATAAAAGTTTGATAAATAAATAAAAAAACCTATATCAGACAACATTTGGTCCAACACATGCAGCTACATAGACTTTGGATCTGGTTTTCTGTATGGAACTAATAGCCAACGAGTGTGGGAGGCCACTTTTTCTGTTGGAATAGAATCATTGGGCTATTTTTAACTTTTGCTGATGGAAGATGAAATACGATGGTCTTCTCTACAGAAGTAATTTGTTAAGCATACCAAGGATGATTTTTGATAAAATTCTGACTGAATATTAAAAATGTCTGAGAGATGACAATGAGTGAAAATTGGGTAGTCTAAGTGAGGTTTTATACTGGAACAAGATGTTCAAACAAGATTTTTGATCTTTAGCAGGTTGCTAGGAAATGCATAAATGTGTGAAACTAAATTTAATATATATTGTTTATTTAAAGCATATAATTAAGGGAATAATTGAATTATAGCATGATTTGCAATATGGAATTGAAAGTTGGATGCTGAATGCAGTAAAGAAAGCATATAATGGAAATAAATACATTAAAAAATGGAATACACACTAGTCCTCAACTTACTACCCAAATGCTAAGTGACCATTCAAAGTTCTGACAGACCTACAATTAGAATTTGAAGCTCCAACAGTCAACTCCCTCCCCGTCACATGACTGCACTTTGGGTGCTTGTCAACTAGGTGTCAACTTTGAACCGAACCTGGCAGCAGCCATTTTTCTGTTCCTCAGTTGCCACACAGAGGGGAAGGGAGTTTGGAATACCTTACTAGACACAACAGAGAGCTTTCAACCAAGGTCATCTCTACTGGCAATGGATAAGATTGTGGAAGGAGTGTCTGGAGGACCCACCAATTAACCTAATTGGCCAATGTGACTTGTGACACTTGGGGGATGGGGTTATTTCCTATTTTAATTACACTGAAACTGTGGGAAAGATTTAGAGTTGGTTTTCCTTTGAAGCTGTGCCAATATGATGTACTCAATAAAGAAGAGCTTTGAGGAGGATCCTAGTCTCAGAGTTCTGATTTGCTTGGGTTTGTTAGTTGGAACCTTGACATTAAACCAACTCTCCTAACCTTGCCCTGAAGTTAGGGCACCCATTCCAGGGTCCTGAGCCCAGGGCGCCCACCCAACAGCATCGCGTGGATGTGGAAGACTCAGGGAAGGTTTGGAGATGGAGAAGCCAGGGGAAGCAGCTGCCAATCCTAGTGCAGCCCCAGCAGGGGTTGCGTAGCCGACAGGTTAAGCTGCGGAAGAGGCCCTCCCCCACAGCAGTCAGGCTGAAGATCCATGCAGAAAAGACCGAAACGCCAACGGCATGAGAAGCTGCCCTACAGACCAAGGACCTCTATCGAGCAGAGGGAGAAGCCTGGCGCAGGAGAGCTCCCAAGGCACAGAAGCAGAATTCCCACTGATGTCCCTTCAATCGCCCGCTGCCCTATTCCCGAGATGAAAGGCAAAGAGAACAGCTGAGTGGGATGAGCACAGAGAATGAGGCTACCTGACCGCTCTCCACAGCCCGTTGGTTGAGCAGCTGAGGGG